TTGATCACTACTGGTCGTATTCAAAATAATTGGCGACATCAAAGAAAAATGGCTTTTCAATTGGGAATTATTTCTTTTGTTTACCTTGCTGTTTGGATTCCATTATCAATAGCTCAACTTGGACAAATCTATATTGATTCAACTTTTCTTCTTATACAATCAGATACTTTTAATTTTCTTGTTTATATTGTACCTCTTGTTTTACCTATGGTTTGTCTTATGTCAATGCCTGAACTTATTAAAAAATTGAAAACTCTCATATTCAGACAACATCATGGAATTATAATACCTTTCAATAATCAATCGGTTCAACAGAATAATAAAATTTATCCATTAAGAATGATTCCTATTGAACAATATTGATCCTTATCATTTTGAACTTTAAACTTTGACTTTGATTAATTGATGTTAAATTAAACAATAAATATATCTTAATATAAATCAGTTCTTATTTCATCGATCCTATATTTTCAAATATACATTTCGAAAATTTGTATACAAAAACTCGCTTTATAACAAAAATTGTTGACATCATCATATTTTGTTGATTGTTCACAAAAACAAATACCGAGTGATCGATAATGATTGCAACATCTAGTATTATAAAGAATAATGATAAGAAATCCTATCGAATCAGTTTGATAAGTTTTGTATAAGGTTAAAAATGGAGTACCGTGTGATGGTCAAATGTCCCATTATTCTGACAGAAGTAAAAATGAAAATAATATTGATTATTTTGCATAGTATATCGTAATAAATTGTTAATATTTTATCAGACCGACAATAGCTGATTATTTGGTCATCAAAATTGGTGTCTGTAACAAGATAAAGCAAGATCAAATACCGATGAAAGATCCCAAGATCGGTGCAAAAAGAACTTCAAATCGTTCATACCTACAGATCGATGGCCTTCTTACTTGCCAGATATGAGTCCATTAGATTATTCTATCTCGGATAGTGTCAATAAAAACATTAGTTATCACAAAGGTAAAACATGAGAAGATTTGAAGAAACAAATACAAAGCGCATACCAAAAAAATAATGTCAGTTATATTAAACATTTGATCGGCTCTTGTCTCCAAAGAGTTCGTGTAACTGAATAACATAATCGCAATCATATTTTTCATGAACATTCATGATTTTTTTTATGCTATTTTATTTATATTGTTTTTGGAAAGTAAATGATAAAATTATGAAAAGTTTTGTTTGAAATAAGAAGGAGGCTATTTGTTAACTTTATTTTCATTTTTACTTCTCTAAGAACAATGGGACATTTCATTATCACATAGTGTTTCACTTTTAGCCTTATAAAAAAATCATCAAACTACCTCGATAGAATTTTTCATTACTATTCTTGTAGAGAATTCCACGGTTCATCTTTCAAAAAAAACAATCATCATTGTACGATTTATCTGTGCAGAGATATTTGCAAAATACTAGATGTTGCAATCATCATACTACACTCGGTAATTCTGTTTAATACTTAAGCATCAGGTGAAAACCATTGTTGATCATAACTCTATAAAATAAAATAAATAACTAATACAATATATAAAACAAAACTTACTAATACTTGATTATCATTATGTATTCGTTCATGCAAATCATGAAGTCTTTAAGAAAAATTGAATTAAAATAAACTTGACAAAAGAAACGAAATATGAATCTTACCTTCGTTCAATATTTTGTAAAGCAACTTCAATATGATTTTTCTTCCCATGTTTTAACGTATGATTCAAATAGCCAGCAGCTATTGCACTTTCACGTTGCATTACATCATTAACTATCATTAAAAAACAAAAAAAAAAAACTTTCCATCTATTTAAATTATACTGAACAATTTTACTTTTAAATTTTTCTCGAATATTATTTTCATTTGAATCAATGGAATTCATTACTAAAGTTTCACTGGCAACTATGAAATAAAGAAAAGTAAAATCATTGTTGATGATTAAATTACATAAAATTACCATGTCGACGTTTTTTGACGATATTGTTGAATTTTTTTGATTATATATTGAATAATACTCTATAGATAATATAGACTATTAAATGGTGGTGGTGGTAATGGTGGTTTATTATAATATTCCGTAACAAGTAGAAAACGTTGATAACGCCATATTCGATGAGATTGATTTTCAACCTTTTGAATTGTAACACTAAAAATAAAAAGAAAATAAATTTATATTTATTAGTCAATTTTTCTTCATAGGAGTCATCCATCAAGGTCCTCCAGACGAAAGGAGAAGGACGAGTCTGCGTCAAAACTGGATAAATCTTGAGAGAAAAGAGAGGGAAGAATACTCCTGCTTTTCGACTACCTTGTGGTGTAAGGTGTTGCAGAGCAGCAGATATAATAGTCTGATATTTTTCCTACAATTATGACTAACTGTAGCTGTGGACTGTAGGTCAGCCTGACGCAGAGTCCTTGCGCTCAATTGCTTGCACATCCCACACACACTAATTAACCAAAAGAGCAGGTGTATGTCACAACGTAGTCAGCAAGCCATCGAATGAGTGAACCGATACGAATAGCCGTTAGTGACTTCTGCAAAGTCATTCCATGACTGTTGGTACTGATGTTTGAAAACAACACCTCGTGGATACGTGCCGCACAATGCATCCATTGAGCCACGGTGGCTCGGAGGAGGAATGTAACAGCATGATATGTCGTCATTTCTTTTGTCATCTTATTTGTAATTTTTTGTCTTTCTCGGTGTATTCCTTCTGTTTCTTGTTTTATCATTTTTTTTCGTACCTATTATCCTACTGTACTTGTTTTTATTTTATTAACACTAGAGAAATACATATATATAGTGAGTTATAGTTGTATACTTGCGAGTTTATGAATTGTCGAGTCGTATTTTAGTCTGAATGTTATAGTTCAACAACATACATCTTTACATTGTATTTATTTGCTTCTCTCTATAGTACAAATTACCGACAGGATATTTATTAATTTTATTGATATTGATTATCTGGCATCGAGCTTGCCGCACATCTATGCATCTTAGAAGTCCAAACATTTCCTAACGTATAGACACTTTGAATATTTTCTCCTTTTATTCTTTTGAAACAACTTTCGGCTAAATTTTGAAGGTTGATTTGTTTTGAAGAACATTTTAAAGTAAGAAAATTAGTTGAATATAAATATTGTATTGAAATCATTGAAGATTATGCTACATGAACGAACAGATCGCTATTTTCTCGAACTACAATATGAACGTTATTAGATTTTTGAGTGTCATTGATATTGAACTTGATTTTTTATTTTTACTATTTTCTATTCCGTTAAAATGGAAACCGTACAACCTAGAAAATTGGATCTGCATGTAAAACTATAGATATGGACAATTCTCATATTATTCTATTCCTATACCAAAACCGTTAATCTCTTAAATCAAATATCACGCTCGAAGCGCATTATGGGCAATTCATATTTTCAATTCGTTAGTTTGGCAGTGATAGTGATCATCTGATCTGAATATTTCTTGAATACCAGTACAATCGATTCTATTATAAGATTTATGTAATCATTTAAATCTGACCCAAGTTTTCAAACAAAGATATGTTGCAAGTTCATATCGATCAAGAAAAATAGTTTATAATAATAAATCATGTGGAGCACTTTTGCCTAAGATATCATCTATTAATTTTATAATCGAATGATAATTAAGATTTAGATTGTTAGAGAAGGAAAGAGTTCGATCTATTCAACAAAAAACAGCTAATGTCGTTTTCTCTGTATAATCATTAGCTTCATTGATTTATAATTATATCATAGAAGCACTTAGACAAAGCAATGCTTTGAATGTGTCACAAATATACCAATTATGACTCATGAAAAAAAAATTGTATAAAGCAGTGTTCCAAATTCAACTTTCAGAAAGAAAGCACTATTCTTTTTGCATTTAAATATATTGTTATTCATTGCAACACGTTCATACCCAGTGAATTTGTAAACGGATGAAATAACGTTTCAAACATACATAATTGTTAAGTCTAACGAAAGAAGTTAAACTACCTCTTGTGCTGTTAATCAATGATTTTTGTTATGTTAGAAACCGTTTATATTTTTTAACGTATATTTTAACTGAAAATAGCAGGTTTTTCGAGAAAACTTGGAGAAATAAACGATTATAAATGAAGAAATTCGTTAGTATGATGAGATAGATTATGGACTTTGAACTTGTTTCTTACAGATATTGGAGACTGCAAAATATGATGGAAATTATTATTTTTGAATATACGTTTAGTTTTTCCTTGTTAATTAGTATCATTATTGTGACACAGAGCTAAAACTAATCATGCAAGTTGATTATTCAATTACAAAGACGCGCAAAAAAATAATTTATTTGAATATTTCGCCTAAGATACCGATTTCTGAACATTTGTTTCCATTATTTGAAATGGTAATATGTGTGTAAAAAAGTTCGAGACTCATATTTATTTAGAGAATCACCTAAAAACTGGTTGAAAAAAGAGTTGAAACTCTGAAAAATTATGCTCAAAGACCTCAACATCACCTATTTGTTTTTATAACTTTTGTCTCTTTGAGAAACATTAAATCAGTCTCGATATTTCTGTTGGAAAGACAAAATTTACCAAAATCTTAGGTCTTGGCCTTTGAACACGATTCTAAATATCTCGTTTATTTATTTTGATGAAAGGAATCCAATAGATCTTGATTAAGAGAAAAGGATATCATGTTGAATAATATTCATGCAATATCAATTTAAAACTAACAATTACTCTTCTTTTATGACATTTTTTCAGACCATGCCAAATAAAAATGCACCTGTGCATTTCACTTATTCTGATGATATAGCTAAATCTCTTTTTTCTTGATTGATTTTAAATTGCTTCTTTTTCTGGTTTTTTTAAAGACTTTTTCGCATAAAAAGCATACCAATAAATTCCTTCCGTCGAGTTCTATCTTTTGATATAAGAAACAATCATTAAAAAGAAATGTCTTATTTTGTTGAACCATCATGTAAAAGTCACTCGATTTTGATATTAATTAATCGACAATATTGTTCTTTCGTTTTTCATTCTTTTCTCTTAACGTTTTTGAACCGTTGCTTCTGTTGCTTTTGATATTTTATTGTTGATAATGATGAGTAATAAGTTTTATTTCACTCTTCGTAGCACAGATAATCCTTTCTTTCTTCAAGTTATACTGGGACGAGCGCAAATTTTCAAGCATGTCTATATTAGTCGTTATCTTCTATCAAAAACTTTTTCCTGATTCGTTTGCCTTTTTAATTCGCAATGGATCATTATATTTCTTTCTCTTTTAAGAGATTCTGACATTTTTGTAGTCTCCAATACAACAGATTTTAGTCAATTCATTAGATTAAGTCATACAGACTAAAGCGATAGAACATTTTTCTTTAGAATTTGACGTTTCATCGATTATTTGTCAGTCGAAATCAATAGCATGTTCCGAGTAGTTGATGCAGAAAAAAAGGTTTTATTTAATTCCTTAGCTGTAGCCAAAAAGTTTTCTAGGTTTTCTCTTATTTTTCTACGTTCAAGTCTGACTTATCATTAATTTTTTGACCACAGAACAACTAAACTTTGACGGTTTCAATTCCAAACCAATGAACTAATTAGCTATTATGATTGCATTCATATAGAACGTTTCTTTTTCTTTCATGTATCTGCAAGCAGTAGTGACAATTTTACTACCATTTTACTTTCAGAAAGGAAAAGAAAGAAAAGTTGTCTGACTTTCAGCCTTCTTTTACTTTTTGACATTGTGTATTGTCATTTTGTTTTCTTTGACTTTCTTTTTAATCTTATTAACTTGTTTTATCAATGGAACAACATTAGAAATCTAGCTTTCTCTTCTCGTACACGAAAAGCAAGGGTGGGTGTTTTTTCGACTTTTTTTAAATTTATTTTTGGAAAATGAAAATTTTTAATTCTCTTTTCTGGAGAAAACGTGAAAGTGCCATCCGAATCAGCAGTTTTATCAAACTATTTTCTGAAGTAAAACAGTATTTTTTTTGTACACGAATTTCTTATCCCTCTAATTATGTGTTCAGTTAACTTTGCTATGAATTATTTAAATTATTAAATATTTTTCAATGAATGTATAGAATAATTCTTGTCCCATCAGCAACAAAACAAATTTTTCTTTGAATTCTTCTTTTTCAAGCAATACGTGTAATTGCTCATTTTTTTTGATGCTACAAACACAAATAGTTGTAGACTTTTTAAAATCGATTAATTTTACTCGATACTATTGGACCCACAATAGACTTTCAGATATCTTTCTTTAAACAATTCAGAAATTCTAGTTATTCTTTAGTTTCTGGATAATTGTGATTTCGTAACTGTCCAATTTATAATCCCTGATTAAACTCTATCATCTTTTCAAAAATCTTCTACTTTGCTACTAGATATTTCCTGAATCGACATTTTCGCTGAAAGTTGTCTTCCTTCATACCTAAAGACCATGGTTTTTCAGCCTTCTTTCAAAGTATACAATAGATTTTATATCTTCCAAGAAAGTTTTTGCAAAAGAAGAGCATGACTTTTTAATGATATTAATCTTCTCAATTCAATTCATTTACTTGATTCATCTTAGATCTTTGTACTTTAATATGTTTATAGAAACAAAATTCTATCTTTTTTCGATCCCGTACAGACTCATTTTCTATGTAACTACTCATCTTTATTTTCAATCATCATATCCTTGAGTTCATTTTGATTTTAATATATTTATTTTCATCTCGTCGTAAGAATAGAATTTTGTCTATCAAGTCAATCTATTTTATGTTCTTAATTAACTAGTTGCGTCACTATTATTTGCTCATTGATAAAGCAAATTATTTTGAGATAGTAGCCAATAGCTATACCGTTCGAAGTATTGCAGATATATTTCAAGTCAGAAATAGTATTTGAATATAATCTTTTCTCAGTAGCACTTTGAATGGTATATCATCCAGCTGCTACTCTAAAAATAATTTGCTTCTCTTAATATGCAAATGATAGTGAGACAGCTAGATGATTAAGAACATAAAATAAATTGAATTGGTAGATAAAATCCAATTCCTACGTCAAGATGAAGATGAATATATTAGTACTCAAAATGAAATTGAAAAAGTGATGATTTAGAATAAAGGTGAGTAAGTGCATAGAAACGGTTTAATATGGGAGAAAATAAATATTTAAATGGTTAAGCAACAAACCGTGAAAACATTTTAATGATGCTCGAATGAATTCATTTAATGATTTTTTTAGTTATTTGTTTTAATGATGAATCGTCGTGAAAATCATAACTGTTCAACGAGTTTATTCGGCTCCGTTGAATATTTTTTAACAGTTTGAAATTATAACTATTTAAAAGAGAAATGTCCCGTTCACAAACTCACTGAGAGACAAATGCATCGACTTTTATTTGCAACGTGTTTAAATGCATCGTTTTTTATCTGCATCTCATAGGCGGTTCTAGTCAATTACCTCGTTTGTAATTAGATTTATATTTAAAATTGATTATTGTCTTGAATGTCCATGAAAAATTTTCCTCTCATCAATTTGATTGAAAGTCTTCAAATGGATTATAATGGATTATTCATCATTCAATTAGGTTTATCTTTGAAATTGGTTATAATTTTCCTAATCAATTAAAGTATTCATCTTACAAAATCGGATTAAGAAATTTTCAATGAATTGTAGTTTACTATTGATGCTCAATACGATTGAATGATTCAGAGTCAAAATTATTGTTAGTATTCATCTATATTTAAAGTATTAAAACAAGAAAATTAGACGATTGTAGTAGAATTTGGATTAACTATAGACACATGCCAAACCTAAAAGTGGAATTCAACTACTCAATTATTGAGTGGCACGGAAACACACACATACACATTTTTCAATATGGATGCTACGAAAACAGAATAGTGGAATATCTTTACTTAAATTATTCTATTATTGAATAGTTGAATATCTGAAAAGGTCTTCAATAGTAGACTTCAACTTTCTGAATTGACACTACTGGAAAGTTGTAAGACAATTCATCGATGCAGTTAGTTTTTGCTGACGATTTAATTACAGCGTGCCGTTTTTCGTTCTTCCAAAATTATCCATTCACTTCGTTTTGCTAATCCGTGAGTACCTGTTCGAAGTTGACATTTTCTTTCTGATACACAATTAAACAGAGGACTAAAAAAAGTATGTCTTTTTTTTGTGACCTATACTGGAAATTTTTAAGAGCAAAGCAACAAAAGAATTTTTTTCTCATACGCCATTTAATCAAATATATTATTGAATGTAGCATTAGTAAGACCACTATGAATTGCATGAGATACTCTGTTTTAATTGATAATTAATGTTGAAAAATTGTGTTGGTCGTTCCCGATGTACATATCAATTTCAGAGAGATCTTCTTGCACGGTCTCATTCACGTGTTGACAGATAGATAATTATTTTTCTTAAACGGTAGATTTGTAGGGAATCTTTTTCGGTGCAAAAATCTCATATTTGAAATCAAACTCCATGATACTCTTAAGTTCTATCCTTTTGTTACTTTATATTTAGCAGAAATAAAAAGCTTACCATAGTCCCAGTGGTAGTTTGAATATGCATCACATCAAACAAAGATGTATCAAATGAAACTTAACATATCGCGCTGTTCTAAATGTCATGCTCTATCTAAGTAGACATGATGCATAAAAATTAGCTATGTATTTAATGAGATCTACGCTAAGGTTATGGCTAAAACTACGGTAAGCTTTTTCCTTTCGTTATACATTACGTAACAAAGGTATATAACTTAAGTAATATAATCGGTTTTGATCGCAAATTTGAGAGTTTTATACGAAAAAAAATCCCACAAATCTATACTTTCAAAAACAGATTTTTATACTTCCTTCGATGCATGAATGGGACTGTACCAGAAGCTCTATCTGCCATTGGCGTTTATATATCAAGCAAAATTAAACAAGGTTTGTAAAAGATGAAAAATTTAAAAAAATCGAAACACATGAGAATAAGGAACTGGTCGTATACATTTATATTAAGTTATGTTCAAATTTAATCGAAATTTAACTGAATTCAGCAAGTTGTAGAGTTCGCGAGTGTGTTCCCGTGAAACCTAGTTTGTCTGAGCAAGCTCTGTCCAAAAAAGAGACAAAAAGATCTTTAAGTCTATGCTAAATCAAAAAAAAATGAACGGTTTTTAACTTATATACTCTCTATGGTAGAATAATAGCTGCCTTCTCTTGGATTTTAATTTACTGAAAATTCAAAATTTTATTTCACTTGCTCATAAAAATACTTTCGACAATTGTTTTCCAATGTTGACGTAGAAGAAGTCATTGATGCATACATTACAGTATGAATAAGTGAAAATGAATACTGTCTAGTAGAAAGAATAGATACGTGCTATGCTTTATTAATGGAAACGAAGATTAGAATTTATTTTTAAATAAAAGAAAATTATTTCGTAGTTTTGCGTCTAATTAAAAACCATTTCTGCTTAAGTTTAATTTTACTTCTGACATATAACATTGGAAAAGATCAATATGATTTCTAACATTAGGCATGAATTAAAATAGAATATCTCATGCAATTTGTAACACTCTTCCTAATGCTTTATTGAAAAATAAATTGGCTCAACATCGTATGAAAAGAAGAACTTTTCGTCGCTTTGTTCAAAATTTCCCGTGCAGATAAAGAAAAAATGTGGTTTACTTAACCCTCACTTCAAGGAAAGCTATGATAAAGAGTACATCTTATGTAGAACACTATTTTTTTTTCTAGTTAATTATGCATTATAAAAAAATTTCAACTTAGAACAATCATTCATTACTTTGCAAAAAAGTGCTTGGATGATTTTAGAAGAATGAAAAATGACATGCTGTGATTATATCGTCACCCGAAAACTAAACAAATACACGGATTAATCTGTGATTTCTTCCAGTATACTAGAAACTATGTGCTGTAATCAGAGAAAAACAAGTTCATTCTAGTTCATCTAATTTTTGAGATATACACAAAGTGTAATAAAATTATCTACTATTTGGATAATTTTCACAGACACTGGATATATCTATCTATCTATTATTGCATCAATTTTAGATAAAAATATGTTTATAATCAAGTGTGCTCATCAGCAGTTTAACTTGTTATGTTTATGAACAAAATTTCTTATGTAATATTCTGATTCTATATTAGTTTTAGACAGGATAACATTACTAATTAATTGAAATTCACTAAATTATTTTAATCGATTGGGTTCAGCATAAACTTAATGTCACATTCGATGATAACTTAACGCATGTTAATAACTCAGGTTGTTATCTTTTACTTTACTCAAGACACTAACGACGACCATTTCATGCAAACTTAAGTAAGGTGCAAGATTCAATGACTAGATTACTTACAAGAAACAAATTTTCGCATAAAATAGTAATATCACAATATATGATTAAAAACTACTCCTGTTCACAGTAAAATATACAGGATGATGAAAATTTCACTACTACTGAGTAATATTATCATTTATTATTAATGATAATATTGCACATTATTTTATTATGAACTTTCTCAACAACATTAACAACAGGGCTTAGACAGCTCAAGAATATTCTAAAGTCTTCCTTGAAATTTAAATGGCTGGAAAACATTTTTCAATGTCCTCAAAACCTAAGTTTCTAATGTTCGTGAAAATAGTCGATTTTATGTTAGATATCAAAGATAATCGCTAGCAATGTTTTGATTTGCCACACTTATCATATGACCAACATTAAAAGTGCGAACTGATCAAGTTATAGCTTTCAGAAATAATCAGTATCACTGTTTTTGAGGTTATGGAGACACATATTAACACATTGAAACCTGTTGTACTTATAATAAATTTGTACTACAGACTTTTTTCAGTTAAATCAACGATTAGAATAATAATAGCACAAGAACAAATAAACAATAAAGAAAGAAAATAAATAACGAGCGAATAGCAACAAGAAACACTGAAAATAGAGCTCAAGTAAAAGACTAAAAGAAAAAATTTCTATTTGAAATACAAAAATAAATAAGACAGATTGTTTGTCTAACGGACAATTCTTCATGGAAAGAAACTATTGTGTTATAGATTTTTCAGTTAACCTAATTTTGATTAGTACAATGAACGTGAAGATAATGTTGACATCGTAGACAAGTCTTTTCTTATTGTGTGTGCTTGGAAACTCTAGCTTTTTAAAGTGCTTTATATATCGAGACGAAAATGTATGCTGTGACTGAGACCTTCAGTACATTGTAGACATATTGTGACTTCGTTGGGCGCAAAAATTTCAGATTGAAATTCAAACATTAGATTCTTTTATTGTGTATCTAAATATACGCCAAAAAATTAGTAAAGTGAATATAATTTGAGAACGAAGATCCAACGGTAAGATTCATTTTAGTCTTGGTCTGATCTCGATACATTTTATATTATGAAGAAAGATTCACTTCAAAAGTTTTATTTCATTCCAAAGAATTCTTTCTTGCAGTCATCAATTAATGAATAATGCCAGAATATCAACATTTTATTTCATTGTAATTAAAGTTTTTATTTATCATCAGTCTTAATGAAAATTAAACTTAGAATCTAGAGAAGTCGAATGCTTTTGTCGATTATAATTGATTTAGAATTAAGTATAGTAAAATTCATAAATTTGATTACTCTGTAACAAAATCAAAATTAACATCTGATTTTTTTGTAAATTCTAATATGACGATAACTATTCATAATCGTATTGTAATCAATTGCAGTCTAATTAGGATTTTCCAAAAAACCCAAATTTAATCGATTCCAATTTTAATTTTGTTACAGAATAATCGTATTTGTGATTTCAATTATTACTATAAGATTTTGAAATTTTAATCAATTTTAATCAGATGAAATTTTTATTGCATGAGTGAAATGATGAATAGAACTTTCAATTATTTGACAAAAATCTTCTCGAAGAAATTGTAAAATTATATCTTGATACATATATTTATATATAGTTGAACTATGTATTCTTCACAATGTGTTTCTTTTAGATTATTCTATTCATAAAAAGTAGTTTTTTAATATAAACAATGTCAACAAACGAAACATATAATATGATGAATTATTCATTGACATATTCAATTAAGTTTGCTGTGTTACTTGCACTTCAAATTCCTTCAATTCTAGTCTCACTTATTATCTTTATTTATTTTGGTTACAATCGTACTGGTCTTATAAGAGATCACAATCATTCTATACTTCTTTTACTTTTAATTAATTTTGTTCAAGTCATTTCTGATCTTCCTATGCCAATGAGTTTCTTTCGTTTGGATGGCATTGTTCAACCAGCTACATCAGCTTATTGTACTTGGTGGATATGGTATGAATTTTCTTTAAATACTACTAACGGTCTTCTTATGGCTTGGATCTCTATTGAACGTCATCTATTAATATTTCATCGTAATTTTATTCAAAATATAAGTATTTGGAAACGACGATTACTTCGTATAGTTCCTTTAGTATTCTGCTCTTTTTGGGGACCATTTTATTATACTCTTACTGTAATTATTAGTCCTATGTGTACAAATGAACGATATTTTGATAGACTTTTATGTGGTATGCCATGTCATTTATTAACTAATTGGGGTACATTTGATCTATTTTTTGATGTTATATTTCCAGTATTGGCTATATTTGTTTTTAATCTTGCCCTTCTCATACGTGTTATTCATCAAAAGTTGATCACTACTGGTCGTATTCAAAATAATTGGCGACATCAAAGAAAAATGGCTTTTCAATTGGGAATTATTTCTTTTGTTTACCTTGCTGTTTGGATTCCACTATCAATAGCTCAACTTGGACAAATCTATATTGATTCAACTTTTCTTCTTATACAATCAGATACTTTTAATTTTCTTGTTTATATTGTACCTCTTGTTTTACCTATGGTTTGTCTTATGTCAATGCCTGAACTTATTAAAAAATTGAAAACTTTCATATTCAGACAACATCATGGAATTATAATATCTTTCAATAATCAATCGGTTCAACAGAATAATAAAATTTATCCATTAAGAATGATTCCTATTGCACAATATTGATCCTTATCATTTTGAACTTTAGACTTTGACTTTGATTAATTGATGTTAAATTAAACAATAAATATATCTTAATATAAATCAGTTCTTATTTCATCGATCCTATATTTTCAAATATACATTTCGAAAATTTGTATACAAAAACTCGCTTTATAACAAAAATTGTTGACATCATCATATTTTGTTGATTGTTCACAAAAACAAATAATTGTCTTTAATACTAAGCATCAGATGAAAGCCATTGTTGATCATAACTCTATAAAATAAAATAACTAACTAATACAATATATAAAACAAAACTTACTAATACTTGATTATCATTATGTATTCGTTCATGCAAATCATGAAGTCTTTAAGAAAAATTGAATTAAAATAAACTTGACAAAAGAAACGAAATATGAATCTTACCTTCGTTCAATATTTTGTAATGCAACTTCAATTTGATCTTTCTTTTCATGTTTCAACGTATAACTCCAATAGTCATTAGCTATTGCACTTTCACGTTGCATTGCATCGCTGGCTATCGTTAAAAAACAAAAAAAGAAAAAACTTTCTATCTATGTAAATTATACTGAACAATTCTACGTTTAAATTTTTCTCGAATATTATTTTCATTTAAATCAATGGAATTCATTACTAAAGTTTCACTGGCAACTATGAAATAAAGAAAAGTAAAATCATTGTTGATGATTAAATTACATAAAATTACCATGTCGACGTTTTTGACGATATTCTTGAATTTTTTCGATTATATATCGAATAATAATATATAGATAATATAGACTATTAAATGGTGGTGGTAATGGTGGTTTATTAGAATATTCCGTAACCAGTAAAAAACGTTGATAACGCCATATTCGATGAGATTGGTTTTCAACATTTTGAATTGTAACACTAAAAATAAAAAGAAAATAAATTTATATTTATTAGTCAATTTTTCTTCATACTTGAATAAAGCAACAAGTACATTTAGAAGAAGTACATTAGCAATAGTAACAAATAGAATAGCCAATACAAAAGCTACAACAGAATATGCATTTGTACCATCTAGAAAAACAAAATTATAATAAAACATTTCAATTATAACTATCTTTACCAATTGAATCAACTTGTCCAAAAACTTTCCAAACGCCATAATTTGTAACATCACGTAATAATTGCCATTTCCATAAACCGCTTCCTTCACCTGATACTGTCACATTAAGTAATGATCCATCACTATTATAATACCAAGAAACTTGATCATCTGTAGTAATTAATGACCATGATGTTATTGAAAATGCTAATAAGAATATAAGAATAAAACAAACAAAAAACAGAAGATCTTTCATCTGTGAATGAAAAAAAAAAGAAAGAAACAAATAAAACAAAAATCGATTCAATTAGAAGAAAATATCAATCACTGACTGTATTAAATATCATAATTAATTTTGGTCCTAATTTTTCAAAAGCAGTAAATAGATGTAATGTACGAACACACCAAAGTATGAAATCAACACCGAAGAATATTCTAAAAAATAATTATCAATTTAAATATATATATCATAATCCAAAAGAAAATATATATATTATCAAAACAACTTACTTTGATATAACAAAAAGTGGTTGAAGAACAATAAATCGTGTAATAAAAGCAATAGTATATATAATAATTGCAATAATATCAATAATATTCCATATTTCTGAAAGATATTCTCTTTTGTAATTCACAAAGAAAAACTAAAAATCAAAAAATAATTTTTGATATTTCATTTTCTTAATAAAATATAAAATGAATATTACTTGACGAATTTCTTCTACAATTAAACTCCATATACAAATATGAAGGATCATTTCAGTTATTGGTATTGTTATATTTCGAAAACCAGATCGACGTTCACCATAATTATTTAATGGAAAATAATCAACAAGAAGAACAAAACTGAATAAAACCAAAAATATAATAAAGAATATCTAACAGAAAATAAAAAAAACAAATAAGCACAAATATCTCTTTCAATAACAGAATTATTCTTTACTGTATAATAATAAAATCGTACAATCGGTGCTTTATAGAAATAACTTATTTTATCTAACCATGAAACATTAGGTTTTCTTTTACGTTGGATAGATCTTATAAAATATCAATAAAAATTTTAATAGGATAATCATTAGTTTTCTTACTCATCATTGTTATGCACCATCGTCGATTGACTATCTCTTGAACGATCTTGGGTACTTGAAACAATCTTTTAATAAACTATTCAATGTATTCATTCATTTTTCTTTTTCAAATTTTTTACTAACATTTTGATGCTTTTCTATATAAGGTAGAAAGAAACAAAATATTGGAATTAAAGGAAGAAATAATGAACAAAGGAAGGTCTAAAAAAAACAAAATCTATTTTATACTTGATTTGATTATTTGGTTTGAATATTTACTAGGAAATTAATAGCTTTTCGTTTGTAATTGATATATCCAAACCTATAAATTTAATTTTGTTTTGTTTTTTTTTGTTGTTAAATTTGTTTTAGAAAAGAAAATAAAATGAAAATATTACCATTCATTATCAAGATATCTTTGAACACATTTTGATGCAAGAAATGTTCTACAATCAGCTTTTCGAGCTAATAGTAATGGATCAATGTCATTAAATGCAATAGCAGAATGTTTTAGAAGATCAACAGCAAAATTTTCATCAGTATCAAAACATCGGTCAATAATTGACGCAGCATGAATATCAAATTGCCTAAAGCGAAAGAAGTAAATATTATAATCGATGAAAAATATTCAAATTACTGGGCATTTTCTTCATATTGTTGTTGTATATCTGAATCAACTATTAATCTTGCTGCTCGTCGGTAGATGTGTGCACCAAATAACGGTGCTACTGATGGATTCTAGGAAGACTATCTTATCATATAATGAAACTTATTATATTGATACTCAAGAAGATTGATTATATACAAAGTAAATGATCATTTTCATTGACAAGCTAACGAATTTAAAATGCGAGCCAATCATTATGAGCTTTGAACGAGACATTTGACTTTTAAGGTGTTCACAGCTTTGGTACAGGAATATATTAGTATGAAAACTATTCACATCTATATTTTTACAATTATCATCAAGTTTTTCAGGCAGTGAGTTTCTCGAGTCTTGCTAGAGTTTAGAGACCATATTAGAGTCAGTTTACATTCAATTGCTTCGAAAAGTTTACTAATTCCGAACTGAGGAAAATATCGGTAATCATTCACCGATATCTGTAAGCTATCAATACTGTCAGATTGATTTCATATGAAAACAAGAGATTGTATAAAATAATATTCCAATACATTTATTATCTTAACTTAGAAGCAAACGCTCTTGTTGTGTGGTTAGTGCAAAATTATCTTTGTTATTATACGTGGATTGCAGATTTTCGTTATCATTTGTCGTAAATATTATTTGATACAATCAACTGCTTTCATACGAAATAAAATCAAAAATACTGATACCTTACAGATTTTGATAAATAATTATCGATGTTTTTTCCCAGTTCGGTATTCCTAAACTCTTTCCAACAAGCTGGATCTAAACTGACTCTAATGGAGTTGATAAATTTTAGCATGACTCTGGAAACCGAGAGGGAAACAGTAAATTTCAAGACTTCAAGAGACTTCATGAAACTTCAATGTATGTTAAAGACTATGGATCAAAGGCTTCAAAAACTTCTTAAGATTTCATAAGACTTCGTAAGACTTGTAGACTTAATGAGATTTCAAGAGTCAAGTCCTTGCTGTTTCTTCCTCGCCGAAAGCATATTGCCTGAAAAGCTGAATAATTGTGTAAAAATATAAATGTGATTAATTCTCATACAATGATATTCTCACACCCAAACTGTAAATACCTTAATAATCGAATATTTCATTCGAAACTTGCCATGAACAGTTCATATTTTCAACTAATAGTTATTTTGGCAGTAAGAGTGATCATTTGATTTGAATAAAGTCAATCTTCTTGAGTACCAATCCAATCGATTCTATTGTAAGATTTATTTCATTATTTGAATCTTACCCAAGTTTTTGAACAAAGATATGTTGCAAGTTCATATCGATCAAGAAAAACAGCCCATAAAAATAATTCTTGTGGAGCACTTTTACCTAATGGTTTATCATCATCTAATTTTGAGAAAATTTTGTTCTTGTCTGTATCATACTACAACAATATTTCATAGAAAAAAATCAATAGATTAATTTCTTTCATACAATAGTCGAATGAAGGTAAACTAAATGAAATTCTTCTCTTGTCCATGTATTATGCCTTCTTTTACCTTTAAGTGGTAACCGCTTACTAATCTAACATAAAAAAAAACAACCTTTGCAAAATTAATCTTCTTCTGACTTTTAAATCAACATACTAATGGTGTTTCATAAAGCTCTTTAAGATTTCCATTTGTTAATTCTTCAAGTGATGTACCAAATTCAATAAGTAATTCAACAAAATCAACATGACCACGACGAAGTGCATCGACAAGACCACGGCGAAGATCCCCTTTCTTTTTTTTATTACAAAAATAAAACTATAATAAAAACAAAAAAATAACAACATACTTTCCATTTAGATATAGTCTTATCAGTAAGAAGATGTTTACGAGCATAACCAAATTTATGCCATGCCTAAATAAATATAAAACGAAAGATCTTATTTAATTGATTGTCTGTTTTTTTTTTTGAATTACTATAGCTAAATTAAGTTCTATTGCTCGACGATTTTGTTCATTATAATCACCGGAAAATTTTGCAGCTATGAAATAAAAAAAGAAAAAGAAAATGTTTTTCAAAAGAAATTATCAATGAAGAATATTTACCATTAAATAATATTTCTAGAATAGCATCTTCAAGATTCCCCCGATATCGTTTACTATCAAATTTAAAAATTGTTACAAGTTGTTTACGTTCATTTAATATTCGACATAAATCATTTTTAACTTCATCAAGTCCTGAAATATCAGCTCGTGCTTTAGCCAAACTTGATTAATCAATAGAGACAATTAGTATATAAAAACTCTTATCATTATAAAACTTACATTGCATTGATGTCTGCTTCTTTTGAATTACCTTTAGCAAAACCAGATGGTGGTCTTGTAGGATACCCACCACCACCGCCACTCTCATTGTCAGAATAACACGCATGTAGTTCAGCAACAAGATCAGCAGCACGACCTGAATCCTTTAAAAATCAATTCAAGTATTTTTTTTTTAGATTATTCAATTTTTTTCTATACTTTGATAACGACAACTGGAGTATTTGATTCAAGTGCTTGACAAATTGTTCGAATGGATGATGGACCACCTTCAACCAAAACCATAACAATAGGTATAGGTGATTCTACTGCTCCTTCTGTTGTAGTTTCAATATTGATATTTCGAGAACATTTTTCAATTTCTGCTCGTAATTGAAGAACACTATCAGCAGTTGATTGTCCATCATCAAATAACAAAAAATGTGTATGATTTGGTTCTAAATCACATCGCTTCCTTTGCTTTTCTTTAACAATATAATTTCGAACACCATATTGATTACTCGTCTCCTAAATTAATTTAAAAAAACAAAAAGTAAAAACATTTCTTTTTCAAACAAGTTTTACAACTAACCATATGAATAGAATGTGCTTCTTGATTTTGATGATGTTTCGTGTATGAATCTTTTCGTTTTGTATTACTCACATTTGCAGAAATATTTGACGGTTGCTTATCAAGTTGATCATTTCCTGCTGTATAACCCCAACTACCAATACCGATGCATGGAATCTCAAGTTCACGTTTTCGATTTTTATAACGATAATTATTAAGGGCTTCACCAACTTCTTTAACGACACCAGCATTGGTTCCAGCTGTAATCAACCATGCATCTATTCAAATAAAACATTAAATATTAATTATTTATATTACAATCAAAATATATTACTCGTTGTAATAGCAACAGAAACTAGACCACTTTGAAAAATTTTTTTAAGACGTGCTGACATATCAAAACTTTTTGCTCCACCAGTTATAGATATAATTAAATCAGGTTTTGGTAAATCCCAACCTATTTGCATAAATTTCACAACTGTTTCCGCATTTGTTTCAAGACTTAATCGTATATATTGTGAAAGACGTGAAGTAGCATCAGATTTATTTTCATCAAATTTTATAAAACCATAGTGTTGAGTTATTGTATACGGTCTAGAAGAAAAAAATACATTGAATATTTATTTTTATTAATGAAAACAAATGTAAACGCACGGATCATTTTGACAAATTTTTAAGTTTTCAACTGCCTAAAATGTTTTTAGAAAAAAAAGATCATATAATATTTTCAAGATCTCTTGTCTATCAATTACCGTTTGAACAGCTTGCATCCGTTCAGAGATTTTATCAACCATTCTTTAATTATGCTTTATCAATTCATGTATAATATTTTTTCTTTCAAGTACTAAAATACAAAAAAAAAAACAAAGAAACTCGAAAATAAATTTTTAGCAAAAGAAGAAAAGAAAATACGTAGAGATGATTGACATAAAGAAATGATGTTGCCATCATTGTGTATTATATTAATCAAAATTCTTTTTTCTTTTTGAAAAAAAATCTGAAAGAAAAGAACATATTTGTTTGCCATTTTCTCTTTTGCATGAAATAAAGTAAATATAATCATGGTGTTGTGGCAACCAGTTCGGTCGTCATTTACATATAGTGTCAAACCTGTGCGTATCGTTTGATAAAATGTCCTTTTACGCATTTTTTTCGTTAGTGTTGAAATAAAAAAAGAATTTCAAGAATTTTTTTAATTTTTATCCTATTTGACAACACAGTAATGTAATAATAGATATGTAAACTAAAGTATGGGATGAATTTATTTCTTATTTAATTATGGTCATCCGATTATATTATAGAAAAATTTGTTAATTTTTTAATAAGAAATTTTTTTATTATCAGTCATTTTATTCTTCTAAATTAATATCAATTTGTATATAATTGTATAATGATCATCAGTTTTTAGTAATCATGGTATATTATTGATGACTTGTTTAACTTTTTTCTGTATTTTTTAATCAATAAAGTAGCTTGAATTTGTAGTGTGTTATTACTGTAAAAGTTCCTACTAATTGAATATAAATATCTGCCGTATAAATTGGAAAAAATGTTTTTCTAAGATAGTCAAGATTTATCGACAAATAATATGAGCAACAAATATCAACCAGTATACAGAGGTGTAACGCAATACTGAATGTAGGGTAGAGCTCGTCGGGTTCTGATCTGAAATTTTTCTGTTAGCCAGATCCGGATTCGAAATCTGAAAATGTTCAATAAATCGGGTCTGGAGATTTTGAACGCGATGAACTCTAATACAAGGAGGAGAGTGATTGATTGCAAGACAAAAGAGGTACTGTGTGGATAATTTTCAAAAGCCGTTGGATGTTGTGTGAACGAATTTCAGAAGTAGAGGAATGTCACGCTTCAATCGCCCCCATAAGCTATGCCCTTGTTATTATAGATCATGATGATTTTCTAGAAGAAATCAAGATACCATAATATTGGATTATGAGAGAGAGAAAGGGACTTTTCTTTCTATGATAAATAAAAGTATCCGTGAAATCATTAACAAAAACAAACATAAGTTTGCTATATGTATATTTTTTGTGTTTTATATCATTACTCGTTGTTCGTTTCAAACAAAAATAAAAAGAATGGACATTTTGAAACTATATCAAGGGTAGGGAAGTTATCAAAATGCCATTTTATTATCATGTCATAGTAAATTTCGATACTTCACGAAAGCATGGAGTATGTGGTAGTTTCCCTATAGTATAAGACATCAATTGTTGTAGATGTTTTTCAAAACCTTCAAGGTTCTTAGAAATACTCAATGGAATATAGAAACGACTAGACATTTAAGTCTTTTAAATGCTTCAAGAAGTTTGAAGAAAATCTTGAATATTAGAGTCTCGCTTTTTCTCATCCTATTTTGCTTCTATTTTGTTAAAAGAAAACAAACACACTGTGTGTAAAGTGTATAAAAAAAAGCCTACATAACAAAATTCTCATTTTCTCTTTCCTTCAATTTATTTCAATAAATCACTTAAAAAATCATCAGCTATGTGCGTACGTTCACGTTTTATTTTAATCGGTAACTAAAAAAAATAAAAATAAAAAAGACAGAGACATTCTCCGGTTTATAAAAGAATCGATATTTATTAGTTTCATGTTACTGATCAGTTGAATTACCGATTATCTCAATAATATGAAATATTAGTTCTTCATTATGATCTATTTAAAATAAAAGAAAACTAAAATTTAAAAACTAAAAAAGATAAAAATAAAAAATAAAAATTCAGTTACTCAATAGATGATTTTAATATCGTCTTTAACCCCTTTACTGCTGCTGGCACATATATACGCCAGGAGACTCATCTTTGCATGAACTGAAGTAATCATCCATATTGTATGTTTTTTAGAAGCATTTGTTTAAGAACAAATGTTAGGCATCGTGCGCTTCTAAAATCACCATTTTGTTAAGACACACTATACAATCGTTTCATAGCAAAATCAATAAATTTTCCGTAAACTTGTTTCTTCCTTCTCTTATGCCGGTGGTTAAAGGATCAATGACGTATGATAAAATGTACATTCTTACTAGAAAGAAAATAGCATTTATTAAATGAAGATGTTAAAAAAATTTTCTTTCAAAATTCATTAGCTAATAAAAACAAAATTGATAATACCATAAATCATGTGATTGATCTTGAATATTTTTTATTATTAACACTATAAATAGATATAAAATAAGAAAGAACAATGTTGAGAACATTTTACTTCTTTGAATAAAACGAATAGGTACATTGAAAAGAAACATATCAGATATTCCAACAAATAGAATAACTCAGATAAATCCTACTGTAAGATTATGAATCATTACTTTCGACAAAAAGAAATACAAAAATAAGTCATCCTTAAAAAAAATGAATGCAATTACAAGTCATTACAGAGAACAAGAAAATATTTGAGTATTGATTTTATTTTTAAATACTATGTTGCAATTATCATAACAGTTATCAAATAATAATGAATATGATTGGACTCAGACACAAATGCCTTACTATTTTTTTTGTCAAGATTTCGAAATAGAATATTAACAAACAATTGAATTCTTATGAACATTATACGACCTTAAACTTACAACTTGTTAGCAAAAGGAACACTTAAATTCCAATCCGAACATTCGGTCCGACCCCAGGTTTTCTTGATAAATCTCTATCAAAAGCTGTATTTCTATGAATAGTTAGTACGCTGCGTAATGCTCAGCAGGATTTGTTTAGATCGAATCACAGTTATTAGGTTCTGTTCAATAAGATCGCCTAATTCTCAGCAAAAGCGTATAGTGCTAAACGGTACAAATTTAAATGATACTATAATTATAGCGTTCTGCTGATTACTACGCAGTGCACTAACTATGCGTACAAATACAAAAGTTATAGAGATCAATGAGGGAAACTGGAATCCGAACTGAAAGTACATTGGAAAGTTAGCTTCAGGTCGAATTTGTTTCTCGTTTCAACATGATTTTTGGTACGGACTAAAAATTTCCTGGTCCAAAATTCTTGTAATCTGAGCAAAATCTAAAGCCGTTCTTTCTTGTATGAGTTCCTGTGTTAACTAGAGACTATAAAACTAGAAAATACCTACCAGTCAACAGATTAATGGATATTTTATTTGAGAGGTAGCCTGTTAAATACTATTTTGAAATATTCAAATCGTGATTTTCGATTGAAATCTTTTAGAATATTCTGATAATCATTCAATTAATATATGGGCAAAGTTTCAGATCACACACTTATCATAACTTTGAAATACTATTCAATATTTTTTGTCTCATTAACTCAAAAAATCTTTCAAAAAATAAGCGTCAAGTTTAAAATTATTTATTGAATTTACTCTTCAACTGAATTTTATCCATTAACAAAAAAATTAATTATTAAAAGATGATATTTTAGACTAATTGAAAACATCTACAATACATATATCAGTTTAAACATTTAATTAGCTATCAAAATAAATAAAAATCATTCCTTTCATGAAATACGCTTATTCAAAAACTTTCTAAACACGATAATTGGTTATATATCGTAACACTTTTCTAATTCGATGCATTTTTATTATCATCTGCTATTGTCATATTCAATAATTGTTGATTATTCTCGTAAATTTATTCAATTTGATAAGATGGTAGTATAATTTTTGATTTTGAAGTTATTTAAAAACTAAAAAGAAAAAGAAGAATAAAACATAACTATGAACAAGCAAAGTAAATTTTTCATCTAAAAATTAAAATAATAGACATAATCACATTGATCAATACATCAAGAAAAAACGGTATAAAATATGATAATTAATTTTGCTCGTTATCATTCATAAACAACGAATAAATGAAGTATCTTTATATAATATCAAAATATTCATTACTGTTGTTCTAAAAATATTAAATTTACTTTGACATTTTTATCCTTGTAATATATTTTTAATTGAAGTATTTCATTAACTTTACACAGACTCAAGCACTCATTAGATAATAGATTTTTCAAACACATAATGTTGATGTTTAAAAACATGCGTGCAGATAAATATTTTGGGTCTATGAAAATGCACTTCAACAGTCCCGTGAAATGATCCGTATATTTTTATTCTATGTACTCAACAATATTGTTCGAGTTTTTTAATGAAAAATACAGGCAAGTCTTTTGTACAAAACAATTTAAAAGTATAAAATAAATATTTAGACTTTATCTTGTTCGAAGAGATCAACTGAAATAAAATAAGTCAATAGAACATTAAATTTAATGAATTCTATACCGAATAGATAATAATCAGATAATTTTATCGTTCCCAACTTGAGCTGTTCTCAAAAAATTGATATGTAATGAAAAAATTGAAAACTTTTTAACTTCAGAGAACTATTCATAGTTATGCACTTCTATATAAAAATCTTTCAATATGTTAAGAAACATAACAAATAATATAGATTCTAATGTGCAAATATTATAAATATTCTCAAACACGTTTATAGCGAATGACATTGTCGAAACAGATGTCTCATGGAAATCATAATTAAAATCCTAATCAAACAATGAATATAAAGCAAGAAAAAAAAAGCAAAACTGGAAAGAATCAATACCGTAGCTTACTTTAAGTCTATCGATTATTGCAAAAATTCGCTGTGGTCAGAAATGATTATCAGATGCTATGATCGAATTCAATCATTCAATTCATGTTGATCATTGCGACATAGAGAACAATAAAAGGGAAGAGAAATACAGTAAAAAAAAATACTATTTAAAAAGAAATTACTCAGGATTGAAAATACGGATTCAATATTTGGCTGTTGACATATTATATCCGATAAATAAATTATCAGTTTTTTTTTATTAATAAGTACTTGTATCAAGGAAGAAAAAGCGAAAATTTCGTACTTCAGTATACTCCAAGAGTATGCCAAGGTGATCGTCAAGAATTTCTCAGCTATTTCAAGTCTACTATCAACATATATCATGAACATCTCAGTTGCAGTTCATTTTATAAAACTCTTTCCGATAATAAAATCCCAATGTTCCGTTGTACTTCAGTGACAATCAAATCATGAACTCAAACTATTCTCTAAAAAAAAATCGTTTTAATACCGAACTTTTTTAAGTTCGACAGAGGCTGCAAAACCTAGAATGATTCATCACTTAGATATACTTTCGAAGCCGTTGTTACGAAACCTTTATTTTTTAGATCCGATCTATAGAATGAAAAGTAGTTCGCTATCCAAAATACGAAATTATTCAAGCTTAAAATGAAACTATCGGTTTCACGTTGTACCCCGAAAGGATTCGTATCGAACTAAAATGGTTTCGTATTTGAAATACCGAATCCTTTTTCGTCCTATGGATCTCAAAAGAAGTTTCGTAGCTTCTGCCAAACTTAAAAAGATTCGCGATAAAACCTATTTTTTTAGAATGTAGTATGCTCGCATCATACAAGTCGATTGTAGACTTGAAATAGTTAGGAAGTTCTCAAAGATAGCTTTGACGTACACTTGAAGCACATTGAAGTAAAGTGAAGTACAGAGTTTTCACTTTCTCTCTTCGACTTCTATACAAGTTTTTCTTTTAGTTTAATAACATACCTTTTCTTATTCCCATCTATTATACTCTCCTGCATGTTTCATACTTTCATATATTCTATACCTCTTACATTGCACATCCAACACTATACTCTACGTTGTAATTATTATTTCAATGCGAAAAATTATTTTCATAAATTAACTTAGTGATTTTATTTATCATGAATTTTTTATCAATCGAAATGTCATTTATATTAATATCCATTGAAAAATCAATAAGCAATGATCGCCAAGTCTAAACAATCCATTTAAAGGATTATTTATAAGCATTGACAAAAAAAAAATATCTCATCAAGTAGATTATCTCATAGTAATTATGAAAAATAAAATATTTTCTCATTTTAAAGACACTGTCCATTCGATAAGAACTGTGATTAGTGACTTGTTCAAAAGAGAATTCAAATATCTATACAACTGTTACTTTCATTTTGTTTTTGATACTTCATTTATTGTTGAGACTACGAGATTTCAAATGTTGACCTGGACTGAATCTTCAAATTGTGATGCAAAATATCGATAAAACAACGTCAAGTTTTGTTTTTTTTTTAATAAAATTTGTTTTATTATTTTAATGATCTTACTAAATAACATCTGATTGTTTTTTGGAATCATCATAGGTGAAAATAATGGAAAACTCACTAGTTGAGCGAATTTTTGGCACTCATATTTTGTCGCTTAAAAAATATTACAGTTAATAATATTCAAAATAAAAAATACATTATTAGTTTGCTCAGTATTGAATTCTGTACTCGATTCTGACTTTCCAATTCCAAGCTAATTTCTATTTAAATGTACGAATAAAAATTTTCGAAAAGAATTTTGAAATCTAGAAAATGAAATTTCTCTATCGATCTATATTACAAATACTTTAGTTTTACTGAATGAATTTTTTCTCTAAAAAAGTATGTGCAAAATCATAACTTTTTCATAGAAATTTTCGAACACAGTTTGAAAATTGACTGTACAATAATATTCGAAATTTTGTAGTCAAAAGGAAAAAAAACATACATAAAAAAAAACAAAATCGGTAGCTTTGTAGAGTGTTGAATTCTCTTGCGGACATGTTAAGAGTTTATTTAAATGACTAGTGTCACAAAAATAAGAAAATATTTTGATTCGTTTATTATGCGCCATCGTTATTTCTCAGACGCAGCTGACTGTCTTGCATCAAAAATGTTGATTTTTATTAATAATAATAAAAATACTGAATTTAATATTACGCGTAGTTTCTTATGAAAAATTGAATATTTTTTTTGTCTGTTAGAATGAACATAGTGTCCTTTAAAAAGAGAAATTGAAAACTAATGCATATGCATAGCTATTTGACTGTTTAAAGCAACGTGTAACAGAACAGCATTGGAAAAACATTAAAAGCAAATTTTCGAATTATAGTTGCAAATATTTAAAACGATATATGTACTCTTTATCTAGATAATCAAATAGAAATATATTAAATTTGCCTTGGTAAGCTCTTTGAAACTTACTGTACAAACACGTATTATAAGAATATATTATTTGAACTTTGTAAATCCATCTGTTCGCTTGATGACACACATATTATGTTATATGATAATAAAACGCGACTCGTCGTATTTTATTTTAACGAAAAAAAAAAATCAAAAAAGAAGCAAAATAAAGAGAACATAGTTAACCATAGGAATGATTAGTCAATTTAGTTTCTTATATATTTGATGAATTGAATTTAATGAAAAAAAGGAATATCTGGAAATATTACATTGAGAAATTGTTTAAATGGCTCTTTAGTATCTTGAATTGTTAATCCTTGACTTTTTATGTCTTTATCAAATTCTCTTTTTAAGCCATTAAAGAAGCTCGTACATGATGCAGTGCTACTAGTCATCGATTGTATGTTCGCTTCAAAATATTTAACTGAAAGTTTAAATTTTTGAGTTTCTTTTATGATATTCAATCCATACTGCGGAATGTTAGATACAAGAGGTGCCAGGTTTGCATTCGTTGGAACAGCATTACAAAACATTCCAACAGGATCCTGTGTCGTCGGTCCTGAATTTACCCAACCAAGCAATGAGATAATGCTAAGTGTAAGAAATAACTAAAACAAAATTTCAATTTTGAATTATTCTTCTAGGTTTCACTACTCACTACAAGTATAGGTTTGTTCATAGTTATTGTATTTGCTGGCGACGTTTTTGATGTTATTACGAGCGAATGTGTTGTGATCGAAAATGTAGGCATTTATATATAGAGTATGCCATACTTATGACAACATTCGGCATAATTATATTGCAACCAATAGAAATCAAAATATTTGTTTACATAAAAGTTGTCTTGATAGAATCAGATGAAATCTGTTTTTTGATTGAAACTCACATATTTACTCAAAGGAGAGATTGCGGGGTCGTTAAGCGCTGAAACCTGTCTTGTCTCGAAATTGAGTATATTATTTTTTCATGTGAAAACAAGAAATTCACTTTTAAGAGAGAACTGACTTCATTGCTTAACGACTTCCTCTATTTTTCTAATAAAATTTAAAAAACAATTGTGTTCTTTAACATATTTGCATCTTTGCTATATTCCTGTAGTTTTATAGATGTATCAGATGTCTTTTTGAATGATAATCAACAATGTGAACTTGATGAAATATATTTGAATAGTATAGTATCGTGAACTTGTGTATGACTAAACTAAAAATCATGTACTACTAGTTAGATGTTTACTATGGATTTCCTCGAAATCCGATTTAAGTCCTAGTATACCTAATCTGAGATATAAAAGATATTGAAGATATAACCTCCTGTGTGTACTTTTTCGTAGTACTGTAACACCCTTAAGATATATAGAAGAATTATCTGCTTCACCACTATGTTCTCATTACAATCGATATCTCTATATCTAGACACGGGTCAAGTTCATCAGGACTTAAATAAGTGTTTGATAGAAATCCACAGCAGATTTCATATAGTATTACTCTTTCATTAGTGCATTCTCAGTTTGACACTGTTGTATATATGTGAAGTTTTATATTCAATCAATTGATAATGCTTAAGGCATAAAAATTTTGATCAACATTTGGAACTATTTATTCTTGAATGATTAACAAAAATGATTTATTTAAAATGTATAGCATAAATTATTTAAGAAGCTTTATTGTAGAGAATTCTTTTTCTTAATTTTAATGGAAAATGTGAATAACACAACTGAAATTATTCGGAACAATAGAAGCATAAGTATTGTAACAACCTTCTATAAATAGTTTTACGCATAGAAGCACGGAAATGATCAGAATATTATTTTATAACAACTGTTTTTTGTATGATTTTTTTTCGATCAACACAACTACGACATAAAAATGATTCAACATTTTATCTTAATAATTATAGGCTCGCAAGATTTAAACAAATAGAAAAAAAAAGAAAACATCAAACTGAAAAATTTCATAAACAAATAAAAAAACGAGTCAGACGGAAGAAAAATCATAATTCTTGATTATGAAATAACAAAATACGAAAAAAAGTCTGCAAGAAGGAAGAAAGAATACATCTCTCTTTCTACTACCTTACAGTATAGTATTTCACCTAACGATAGATTCAATAGCCCGATATCTTCCCTACAACTGATGCTAGCTGTAGCTCTGTACGGAAAGTCGATATGACACAAAATTCTTGCATTCAGTAGCTTGAGCTTCTCATACATACTGGCTAATCACATGCTAACTATAAAAGCAGGTGTATGTCACAACATAGTCAGTATGCTATTATATGAGCGAATCAAGATAAACAGCTGTTAGTGATTTGCTCATGACGATGTCATGACTGGTGATGTCAAAGTTTGAATACAGTACTTTAAGGATACGTGTCGAACTACCTAAGCATTCAGTCTACTCAATCGATTATGATATTCATTTTTAATTTTACCGGTCTAAAAATGGTCATACACTTCTGAAAAATCAAGCTTCCATTTGTTTTAGTAACCGAGAAATTATAGCAACAAGTCAAGTACCTAGGTTTTAACGTCACCTGCCGAAAGTGTAACTAATATTTTTTATTCCACTGCAATTCTTTTTAAAATATTTTTCCAGATACACTTGTAGAACTTTTCAAAAACTTTCAGAATATGTGTTTGATCTCAGCTTTAGACGAAGTTTTATATATGATAAACTACTGATAATAAGCGTCAAGACACTTTTCAAATTTGTGTAGAATAACATTCAAATCAAGGATATTTTGCTTGAAGAGACTTCATTTGAACAAACTTGATTATATATGAAAGAGATATGGGAGGAAAATAATTTGAGAAATAAAAGAGGTTTTTTTCATAAAATTCCTTAAAGCGAAAATTTCAAACAAAATTTAAAAGATGTTCATGCTGTATGTGGGGCAAATTTTTATATTTTCTTATTGATATAACTCAATTAAAACTGAATCGTTTGCCCTAAAAATTTGACTTTTTTTTCAACACATATAATAAAGTAATATCTCAAAAAAATCAGGCAAAAAATCTTTCTCCATCTGAGTGAAAATTCGGTTTTACTAACAATGTGTAGACCGACATTTTTTGAAGTGTTTATACATTAAAATTGATTCATATATGAAAATAGAATGCAAAGATCGACTCCAACACGGGAAAGTGTTGGGAAAACATTATTTTCTTACACGATTAACATCGCCGTATAAAATACAGCACTTTATTTTCTCTTTTTAGTAAATTAATTGTCATCAATTTTTTTCTCTGACAATATAATGGCTGTGTTCTTCACTCATATGTTTTATTTGACAATGACTATTATGACTTCTATTAAAACACATGCAGTTTGTTTTAAAACCATATAGAAAAATTGAAAATAAAATGAACAAATTAATTAGTTTCTTCATCATCATCAATATCTAATCGATCATGAGCAGTTGAACGAAAACCAAAACCAATATTACATGGCATGATACAAGATAATGAACGTAAAGCTGTACTAGCATATGAACCTGATGAATTTCTATCATCACTTCCATTTTCTGATGCCATTGCACAAGCACGTTGTTTAAGAAAGAGAGCTGCTTCTTGATCAAATTTTGCACGAATTCGAATCAACTAAAACAAGCAAATTAATTATAAAAACAACAGAACAAAAACAATAGAATTTTACTTCAAATACTCTTGGTTGAGCATTTTTATTTTGTCTTCTCAAAAGTACTTCTGATACAGGAACATCACGTATTGATGCACAGTTTTTTAATGATTCAATACTTGTTAATGGTATAAAACATTCACCAATAAAATTATCCTTTTTTACCGTACCTTTATTCCAAACACTCAGACGTAAAACAGCATCAGATGTGCGTACGTTTAATGGAAGATGATGCCTTTAAAGAAAAAAATTCATTTGTAATGAAAAATTATTCAATTAAAAAGCAAATCTACCATTGAAACAATTCATTAAATTCTGGATCAAGTGTTCGTTTTATTGTATTCGTTTTATATTCTTTTGGACGCTTTGGATAAAGTGTTGATGGTAATAATTCAAGAATAACATATGGATCTGATACACCAAAAACATCCATTTTTGGTAAATCTTGACAAGAAAGAACTTTATATAAAAAAAACGAATATATATATATATATTCATTTATGCTAAAAATAATGAAATAAATCAACATACTATGAACATAAATAGTAATAAGTTGATTGAGGATTTCATATCCAGTACGAAAAACAATTATACCATTATTTGTTAGACATTCATGCTAC